ATTTTGAGTCCTGACTTAGTCCTGGCGTCCTCTACAAAGCACATAGAATAAAATACTTTTTCTCCATTTGTTTCTTATGCGCCAACCAATGCAAAAGGCATAAATTAAAAAAAAAAAAAAATTCATACAACTTTTTCTGGTTCTCAGGAGGATATCCCAAAATGTGCATAAGAATAGGTGCATGGAAACATGGCTAGTAAAGCAAACTTCAACTTTTTTTGAATTAAAAATATATATATATTAAAAAAAGTGGAAAATTCATAATCAAATGGGACGTTTTCAGCATTTTAGGCACATGATTAAGTGTGAATGTGTGCATTTTTCAAAATATGCACACATTTAAAACAACAAAACCTTTTTTGTATCCCCAATTCAGACAACCTTGGATTGTTACGACGTATAACGTCCAGTAGATGTTAAACACTGGTGGTGGAACATAAAACAACAGCTTTATGACCGATACTCACCAGTTACTAGGTTTAAAAGGCTTTGATCCGGCGAACTCCCGCCAACGCGCGAGCGTCCTGAACAACAGCAGCGGAAGTGACGATCATATACAGAACAGCTGCGCCACCGTGTGACCCGGATGTCCGAAGTATAGTGAATTTTGAGGAAAACATGTATTTTTTGTACGTTTTATTTGTTATTTGCTTTTATTAAATATATATGTATACACACACACACACACACACACACAGAGAGAGAGCAACTGATAGTACACATGTAATCAGATTCCAGGAATTTGTAATTAGATTAAATTACATTTTAAAATACTCGTACTCACACTACAGTTACTTTTTTTATTGATTACATATTATTCATACAAATTATTCAGACTTTATTGATTCTCCTCAATTCCTCTTTTTTTCGTCTTTTAAATGTTCCTTTCTAAAACAACCTTCCAGGTTTGTGGACACTCACACAAACACCAGTCGCTAAAACTGAGGGCCACACAACATTTGACCCCTGGATTTACAAAAATCATTTCAATTTTAAAAAGTGTTTTCCAGTCCCAGTCCCAGTCCCAGTCCCAGTCTGTTTTCTTGGTTTCTAATCTTTGCCTGTTTTCCTGGATTTATGCCTCTAGTCTCGCCCTTTTGATTCTGTTCGCTGATCGTTGACCTTCGCTAGCCCTAGGATTATTCTTGTGTCTTGCCCGTCATATACCTGTTTGCCATTTTTCGACCCTGCCTGTGTTTCTGACCTCTTCTGCTCTAAATAAAAGCTTGCGCATGGATCCGCACGTCTCACGTCTCGTCAGCCCTGTTACAGATTTGGTGTTCCGTTATTAATAATGGTTCTAATTATTATTAATGCTGAAAACAGTTGCGCTGTTTCATGTTTTAGTGGAAACTGTAATACATTGGTTTTCAGGATTCTTCAATAGAATGTTCAAAAGAACAGCATTTATTTGAAATAGAAATCTTCTGTAACATCATCAATGTCTTTACAGTCAATTTCAATCAATTTAATGCATCCTTGGTGAATAAAAATATGCATTTCTTTTTCTTGTTTGAATGGTAGTGTATCAGTTTCCACAAAAATATGAAGCAGCACAGCTGTTTTCAGCATTGGTAATAATCAGAAATATTTATTGAGCAGCAAATCAGCATATTAGAATGATTTCTGAAGATCATGTGACACTGAAGACTGGAGTAATGATGCTGAAAATTCAGCTTTGATCACAGAAATAAATGACATTTTAAAAGACATTCACATAGAAAACTGTTCTTTTAAATTTTAATAATATTTCAAAACATTACAAGTATTTTTGATCAAATGAATGCAGCCTCAGTGAGCAGAAGAGACTTAATTCTAATCGTTTGATCCACAGCACATTTGTGTGTCCTACTGAGATCATGGCCTTCAATAATCATGTGCACCAGTTTCAGGCCATCAACGCAGAAGTGTCGTCTGCTCGGTGGACTCTCAGTTTACTCACCTGGCCTGGTGAGAAGAACACACTTCTTAATCCACATACACATTTGAGAGGATTCATTGTGATCTCTTATATAAGTGAGGACTAAGAATGGACTCACTGCGGGTTTCTTTCATCAGGATCAACACACCCAAGAAACAAGGAGGTCTCGGACCAATGAAAATCCCTCTTCTTTCTGACCTCACTCATCAGATATCCAAGGACTACGGCGTCTTTCTTGAGGATCAAGGGCACACGCTCCGGTACTGAAACCAGGCCTTTTCATTTTTGGACCCGATTGGACCTTAATATTGTCCAGTAAATGGATTTTACAAATGTATCTTTGAAAATCTATTTACGGTAATCCAAAACAAATGGAAAAGGCATTCAGTGAAAAATCTGAATGTTCCAATATTACATGAATGACTTGCCTGCTGAATTATAAGGTAATGGTTTTATTCTCTGCTGTCTTTTAGAGGTCTCTTCATCATCGATGTTAAAGGT